CGACGCCGAACTATAAGCCGCGTGTCGCCAAGGCTTTCATTCTACCCGGTCCATCTTAAAATGTCCGTCCGTCCACACGCCCACATCTGGAATAAAATTTTCACACGTTAATTCCATTAACAATCCATCATCAGTTTATTCACATAATCGCTTACTCACTATACATTGTCCTTAAACTAGGTATGTATGTATATGACCTGTTCAATCGGCCTCTATCAATCGAGTATATTCAAATTTGTTCACTTGTAAGTTAAGTCTAATAATAAGTATAGTAAAGGTTAAAATTGTCGCCTAATCTTTGACATTGGCCTAATTTGGCACATCGCGCGCATATAACGAAGGAATTCTTAAAAGGGCTAGGATGAACTGGTTCGGAAACCGTAGGGATTTGAGGCACGAAATTCGCCCACTATAGTCTGCAGCCTAACACTTACAAGACGTCTTGCGCGGGCATGCGCGAGCTATTGTTACGTTAGCCCTACTATTTCCCTCCGCCTGTTCCCCCTATCCAGATCAGCACTCTAACCACAGAAACCGACTCAAGACGCCTAGCGCGGCACGTGTGCTGGACGTATAACCCTGCGGGCAAAATTCCGCGGGCCAAATTCTTACGCACCCGTCTCACCTGACACTCCGGTCTCCGCTTATGAATTTTAATATGCCTTCGGACTCCTGGTTTCTAGGTCTGAAGATTGCCGTTCGATGAGCGGCTTCCGCCAAAGCTGGAAGATATATACCATGCCCCACACAACTGTTGCTTGCCGGCCAAAACCGAATTACTGGAGGCACCGGAACAGGCACGCCGCTTAGGTACGCAGAGATTGTGCGTTTGGCGAACCTCCGCCACCAGTTTCAAGGAAAAATTTCGTTGACAAACCCAAACGCCGGAACCACCTTCTTTGCACACGGTGGCTCTGCTTAACACTTGGCTCACGTGGTTGCTATTGCCACGATGTTGTTGCTGCTCTGCTTCGGTCTGATGGTGAAGGTTCTAAAATCACGTCCAACTCCAGAAACGCCGGAACGAAAAAATCTTCTGGAGATTCCTTGCACGTAAGCAATTTGTCAATACCAAGTCAAACGTCAAAAGTCAGCTGAGTGGGAGGTGTTCGGAAAAGGTCGCCGGCCAAATTTGTTTTAAACCAGTGTGACCGCAACAACCCAACCCGCCTAAGTACCTAAATTTTTCGTACCCCATTTCCCATTTTACTTATAATTTTCCCCTTTTAAGTGCCCTTTTAAGATTCCTTAAAATACTTACATACTTATTCTGAAATTCAGTGGCAGCGCTAAACACCTTCGGCAAAAAAATTTAAAAAAATCAGCGGTAATTTTTAGCCACTTGAAACTTGCACATTATTAAACTAAAATTGAAAGGCCAGTAAAACTTTACTCTCAAAAAAAAATATTCTGGGTAAATAGTTTGAAATTTTGATACGTTTTTTTTAAGTGTTCTACAAAATCTTA